CTTGCATGGCCTAGTCAGAGCCCAGACTTAAACCCCATTGAAAATCTGTGGAATGACTTGAAGACTGCGGTCCACAAACGCTCACCATCAAATTGAACTGAACTTGAGCAGTTCTGCACAGAAGAGTGGGCAAATATTGCAAAGTCTAGATGTACAAAGTTAGTAGAGACGGAGACAAATCCCAACAGACTAAAGGCTGTAATTAAAGCAAAAGGTGGTTCAACAAAATACTGACACAAGGAGGTGATCCTTTCTCCAACTCGGTGATTCTGATTTTTTTTTTCTGACATGTTGGTGTTCTATCTTTCACTTGGATGTTATAAGCTGCACTGAGTAAATACAGCTGGATAAAACAAAAACTGTGTCTGTCTTCATTTCAGGCTGCAAAGCAACAAAATGTGATTATTTTAAAGGGGGGCGATTATTTTCTATACCCACTGTACATGTTGCTAAATTAAAACCAGAATAATCCTTACTAGTTTAATCCATTCTGGCTTTGTTAGAGATTCAGACTGTAATAACTATGTTCCAGTAAATGTTTTATGATGCATTTCAGACTGTAAGCTGATTTTGTATGTAGTTTTAACCCATATTCAGTGTAAAAAAATAAAATAAAACAAAAAAATTAAGTATTTTTTAAATTACTTTAACAGCTGTTTCAGTTTAGGATTTTTAATGGATACCAAAAAGTTAAAAAAAAAAAAAAGTGGCTTCTGACATATTTGGACATTACCTGTCGTGCTTAAAAACAATGGAGTTCAATATTTCCCACAAAGTGTAAGTGTATTGCATAAGTTTGGATACTCAGTAAGACAGCAGGACATTCAGAATTAGCAATCTGCATTTTTGTTAAGTGGCCACTGAGCCAATGTGCCGCCCATTCCTGGCCCCCCACACTTCCTCTCACTGCTACAGACCGAGATCATTCTCAATTCCCCTATGACCTGCATATCTGAAGATACAAGCTAGCTTTAAATCTAGCTATTTAGAGAGGACAAGCAGAATGTGTCACCCCATGCTCTTTAGAGTTGTGTTTGGATTTGTTCTTGGCCCTGGTCTTGTTGTGCCTTGTCTGGTTTAAAGTCACGAAACATGAAATGATTCTTTAATTCTGTAGCAACATTAACACTGCAACAATAATACAATAATAATTATTAATATTATTAATCTACATTAATAACAATTTAAAATAGTACTAAATTAAGTCATTTTAATTAATTGTAATTAAAAGAGATTAATAATATTGATTTATTTATATTTATTATTATTCAGCTATAGTATAACCAGTATAAAAATATAATAAAATATATTAATTAATATAAAACTAGCACAGATGTGTTTAAATTTAATTGTATGCGTTTTCATTTAATAAGCTGTGCAATGAGACTATGAATATGTATTTTTTTTTTTAAAGTGCAATAAGATCAGGAATATGTATTGAAAAAGTAAATGGTCAATGACTTGAAACGTGAAAAACGTGTAAAAGACAGTCAGATAAGAGTTCACAGGAAAAGGAAAAACATCAACTTTGCGAAGAAAAAAGAAAAATTCGTTCTAGAACAGCCAAACGTCTCTTTCATCATGCCTGAACTGAAGATGACTGTATGAGAACATCATGAGACACAATTTTGTATCACAACAGAGCTCAGTAGAGGCATGTCATTTTCCAATTAGAGCTATTTCTGGAGGCCGATTGTCAGCTATGCAAGACAAGGATGCACAAACACAACATTTTATTTTCATACCTGAAACTGGAGTTGGTTTCAGCAGTGTGCTCATTCACAGCTCCTCAGGCCCTGAGCGCTCTGAAAAACACATTTGCTTGGGTTACTAAAATGTGATTTGTCTCAGTCTCTGAAGTGAAAGAGGTTCAAATAAATATCAGCATCTAAAACGTCTAGGACAAGAAGTAAATCTAATCCAGGTCATCTGGTAAGAAAATCCTGACATGCATGTAAATAATAGAGTAAATTGTATTTATACCCGAGGGGGTTATACAGAACAAAAAAATACAATATGCAAGGAATAACTGAAAACAGACCGTTGAAATATTAATGTAAAATGCAAAACGAGTAGAGAGGCTGTTACAAATAAACAATTATATTGTTAAGCCTTTTATCAATAGTAACTCTTTATCTGAATTTTTTATGTAACTGCTTTTAAAATGAATAAAGTTTTTTTTCCCTTCAGTCAGGTGAACCATATTTCAACCAAACAGACCATCCAGCCAATTAGACTAAAATCATTTATTGCAAAAAATGTCAAATAAAGCAAATATCCAGTTTAAAATGTTTTCCACGTTTTCTCTCAAAAACAATGAAGATTGACATTTAATTTCTAAGATGAATTAACGGATATATTATTTTATCTTTATGCACCAATACATAGTAAAAATGTATTCTCTAAAATATATTTACTCAAACAATAAAAATGGACAAGAACTTCACACTAGTAATGTATTTGTGTTTCATTACTGTGATTAAATCAGTTTTACACTGATTCATTGAAACACAATGAACACATTTCTCTAATTTCGTAATGAGGTTTAAAACCATTTAAAACATTTGCATGCTCGTATTCTGAAACATAATGACGATTCCAACTCAACAGTGAAAAATAACACACAGTAGCATCGGGATGGTATAATATAAAACATCACATTAGCATCTGATTTATGAATTCACAAACTTTGTCTGTATAAACTCCAAGTGAACTCCTGTTTTTTTGTCTACCATGTGAGACACACATCACAAGTTATATTAATATTAATAATATCAGTCACCACATTCACACACGGCCTTCTCGGAAATCACCTCATTCAGTCACAACTCAAAGCAATTGTTCTATCTTTGCCTAATTAACACAGAGGCTGCTCATTACCGTCGCATCCGACAGACCTCCTCCCTCACAGTTACCTCGGCAGAATAATGAACTCCTGCACTGCAGACACACACTGTGACATTCTAGTCATTACAGTCAATTACTGTATGGAGTGTCAGAGCACTGAAAAAGGGGCATTTTAGTATTTTATTACAGAAGGTAAAGTCGACTGTAGTTTGAATGATATCTGGTACGTGTTCAGGGTAATAAGCAGTAAGATAAGATTAGATTAAGGACACTGCACCATAGTACAAAATAAAAAAAAAAGTGTTATCAAATGTCACAACAAATGTACGCACAAAAGGAATTCAAGCAATGTGCACTTTACCGTATATAACAGGGTGTGTAAAAGTAAACTGGTCAAACAGCACTGGTCTCCCCATCTGCCCAACACTAAGGAATCAGCTCATTAAAGCTGCAGTGCGTAACTTCTGGCACTCTAGTGGTTAATAAACAGAACCGTGTGTGTCTTGCGGAAGAACATTGTAGCCGGAGCTACTTCTCTCTGTTTATGTCTATGACGAATCAGGCAGGTACTGGGCTACTCCGCAGCGGTACCTCCCCGAACCAGTCTAAAACAGTCCAAATATAAACACTTATTAGTAAGTGATTCAGGACAAGCCAAAAACATGGTTTTGGAAAATGGATTCATGGTGTACTCACTTAATATATCAATTTTTATAAATTTTGAACACAAAAAAAAAAAAGTTACGGACTGCAGCTTTAAAGTAAATATGAATTCACAACTGACCCCATTCAATTTCTTAAAGGAGCTGTAACGACTTGTGCTTTACAAGAAAACAGTAAGCATTAAGTGTTACTTGCGGTTTCTTTGTAGTTATTTCTGAAATATACCAGTAGGGGTGTGCGATATTGACAAAAAATGATATCTCGATATTTTCTGGGATTTTATCTATAACGATAATTAGACAATATTTAGCCGAGTGTGTTATTGTGCTGGTACCTTAAGGACTGCCGAAGACAGCTGACGCCTAATGTTTTTAATATTCTGTGTGGTGGTCAGTTCATACTGATAGAAATTAATCTTTTCCAATAAGTTTAAACTGATTTTTGCATTTTTACCTTTATAAAGCCATTTTTTCTAAAAGTATCCATTATCTTTTGAGTCAAATTCTTACATTTAATCAGGGAATTAGAATAATAAGACATTTGGGCTGTTACCAAGCAAATTAAATCCACACAGAAGCTGCATCTGAAGTGGCATTTAGATGCATTCACACACGTGTATTTCATTTAATGCAAGACATGAATGCATTTAACCTGCAATTACAAATGCATAAATAATGTTTTGATATATTAAACATAAAACGTTGAATACTGATATTTGAAATGATTTAAAACATGAAAAAGAAAAAAGAAAAAAAGAAAAAGCCGAAATGTGAAATTAAAACCACCAGCAGTTGGCAGCAAATAACTGTTAATAAGCGAGTCACTGCGATTGAACCGAATCATTTAAACGGTTGATTCATTCAAGAATGAAACACCGTCATGTTGCTCAGAGATACAAAACAGCGCTGTGGCTGTATTCGGAATGATTTTTGTTGGCGAAATAGAGCAAACACAAGCAATATGGTGTCTAAAACGTAAGTCTCTTAATTAACTTATTGTTTATTGTTATGTTGTTATGTTGATATGTTGAACTCAATGTCACATTTGTAATCATGGTTACATTTCACACTCGCGCAAATGAGTATTAGAGCCTGTAGCCGGTGAAGGAGCCTCCAACCACAAACCCAGACGTACATCGTCTGCTATAAGGTATTGCATTTTAACAAGTAATCTGAACGGCCTATATATGTGCAATATTTGAAATGGGTCCTATTATGCTTTTTCACTTTTCCAAGTTTAGTTAGTCTGTAATGTTGCTGTTTGAGCATAAAAAAAATCTGGAAAGTTACAAAGCTCAAAGTCCACTTCAAAAGGAGATATTTTATTTAACAGAAATCACTTTTCAAAAACTACAACGAACGACTCGTTTGGACTACAACGCATATTTTCCAGGATTTGTGATATCACAAATATCGACGAATGGGACGAGACCTGGTTGAGCTGCACTAGAGAAGGCAACGAGTGTTATCACTATGTTGGAGACGCGCTAGTTTTCACAAGGCAGACTAACTTAGAGTGATTACAATCATCCGGGTTTAAATTGCACTCAAATTGATTTGATATTGACGCAATATTTACACTGAAGCTGCAGTGGTAAGGGGCATGACATTTCCCGACCAGGTGCAGCTAACCAATCACAGCACACATTGGCCCAGCTAACCAATCACAGCACACATTGGCCCAGCTAACCAATCACAGCACACACTGGCCCAGCTAACCAATCACAGAATATTTCGTATTTCAGAAGGCTGGCCTTCATTTGATACAGGAACTATTCGAGCCGTTCATGCCAGACTGGGGAGAGAGGTCTTGTAATAATGTAAAATATGTGAAAAATAATGTGTTTTTCGAACAACCTAGTATGAGAGCCTGTTCTAGTACACCCCCAAAATAAAATCAAGACTTTGTAAAAGAGCATAATAGGACCCCTTTAACCGAGCCCTCACTAACTGAGTTTAACTCCAAAGTTATGTTAGAATGCATTTCATCCTTGTTTCTATGGCGGTGCGTTGGGCTCATCATGGGGCGCGCGGTCCTGAGCGCTGTATGACTGTGATGTGATGTGACCCCCCCCCAACCACGCCTTCTTTCTTTGCGTGCACATTTGGGCTGCATTATGCAAATATTTCCACATAGTGAGGTAGATATGTGGGGGCGTGTTAGAACGAGCCATTTTAGGGGGGGCGCGGCAGAGTCTTAACTTTGATAAAGAATATCTCTTTGGTTTTGAGACTTTAGTCTTTGCAACTTCAGGGATCTTATCTCTTCACAATCAGCTTGTAACACTCCAAAGAGAAAGGAAAACTTGAAATCGCATCATATGACCCCTTTAAATATAAACTTTAAAATAAATCTACTTTTGATTTTCACCATTGACTGCAGACGTTTTAGACCGATAACTTCCGTGCTCTGATGCGGCAAACTTGTCACAGGACGTGCGGTCCTAATAGCGATGTATGACTGTTGTATCCGAATATATATGAAATAGCCGTTTTAAATATTTTTATATTTAACATGTTAGTTTATCAATAGCCTATGTTTGAAAGTATATTATTTTGATTATTGGTGATGTCATAGGCTCTCTCGCGCGCGCCTGCGCGATTTAAAACACCACATAGTTATGAAATAGCCTATGATAAGTACAGAGAGTCTCTCTCTTGCCCCCACGCACGCACGATAATATCTTGTATTGGCGATCTCACAGGCTGGCGATATGACGATTTTTGAAAAATGACCATATCGCCCAACACTAATATATACACACACACACACACACACACAGTTGTCAATTTCACATACAATTTGCAGTATCTGTAATTTAGTATTGACCTGAATAAGATATTTCACATGAAAGATGTTTACATATAGCCCACAAGAGAAAATAATAGTTTATAACAACAAATAATAATTTATAAAAACGACCCCGTTCAAAAGTTTACATACGGTTGATTCTTAATACTGTGTTGTTACCTGGATGATCCATAGTTTTTTTTTTTTTGGTGATAGTTGTTCACGAGTCCCTTGTTTGTCCTGAACAGTTAAACTGCCTACTGTTCTTCAGAAAAATCCTTCAGGTCCCACAAATTCTTTGGTTTTTCAGCATTTTTGTGTATTTGAAGCCTTTCCAACAATGACTGTATGATTTTGAGATCCATCTTTTCACACCGAGGACAACTGAGGGACTTATACACAACTATTACAGAAGTTTCAAACACTCACTGATGCTCCAGAAGGAAAAACAGTGCATTAAGAACCGAATGAAGATGTGTACATTTTCTTATTTTGCCTAAAGATC